TGCAGGATCTCGGATGCGCCGCTGGCATTCCCTGTAGCCGCATTCACCGATGCACGGGGAAGCAGACGGCGGGGGCCGTGATCCTCGGTAGAAAAACGACCGACGGGGAGTCGGGGACGGGGGGTCGACATAGCGCGCGCCGTTTGAGCCGACGGCGTCAGGCAGGATCCGACGCGCCGACCGGATCACGAGCCGAGCCCGCGCGCCGCGGACTCCCCCGCCTCGCATGGGGCGGGACACGGTCGCTCGCTCGCACCCACCAACGAGGAGGCGTCGCCGCTTTTCTTCTCTTTCTGGCGTGCGCTGGAGCGGAGACTACGAAAGGCAAATGACTTTTCCCGCTGCACCCCTTGTAGATTCATGTATCACGGGGCCGGCCAATAAACATCTTGCTTTTGATTTGAGGTGCACGGATGCAACCCGTTCTTTGTTCGATCGATCTAGTTTGAGTTTGGGCGTGGTACGTTAACATTTTCCTCGCGACACTTATTCAAAAGTCCGGATTGATGAAGAAAGATGGGTGATATATTTTAACAATAGCATGACGGAGCATCAAGTATGTGTTGGTTACTTGGTTAGCCACACCTTTTGGCACTTTTTTATCTCTTGTTTCGTTGGAAGATACAAAAGCTTTGTGTGTCCCACTAAATGATCGCAAACTTGCTACTATCTAGGACATCTTCAATGATAATTCGTAAATTTCCTCACGTTCTCAAACAGGGGATCAGTACACAAACATGAATGCGAGAGAATATCATCTAACGCTAGCCGCATAGATTTCAAACAACATTTTAAATAACCATGCGACATTCATGCAAAGCAGCTGATATTTATCAAAGTTCAGACAGAAATCAGCACAAATCATCCATATATGACATGCAAATTAAGTCTAATACAACAATGTATCTAATTCGACTAGATCCTAGGTGTCCAAAAAGTTTTTCATCAACGGGTCATGTCGTTTCACATATACTCTCCTTCAGCTTCATCCAACAGTGTATGCGCGTAAATGACCATCCCTCTGTCCTGTGGTACACCACGGCGACGCGTGCGGGCTACATGTAATATGTAGACCAACATTAAGTGAATGAACAACCAACAAGTTGAGCAAGAGAAAGTAAAACTTACGTTCTCGTCCTCTGCCGCGTGCAATGGTCATTTTGCCTTGAGCTGACGAACCACGTTGGAAAACTTGATGACGATGATCTGAATAGCGTGCCAACGATACGACAACGACCTCACATTGCGTGGTTGAATGTTGTACATGTCTTAGGGCGCAACATGCTTTCGTGCGTGAAACTTTTCACGCCCTTTCTCCCAGAAGGCTCCTCATTGTTCCTGCCCATGAAATTTGCGGATATAGCCATTCACGCATCGAACAACAACTTATCCTTCATGGTCGAGTAGCTCATCATCCTTCGCACTCTAAAAAACAACATAACATTTGAAAATAAGCTCAATGGCATTTGATCGAACACTTGTCGGGTGTGGTGTCCGCCATGAAGATCGTCGACATGGGGCGAAGTATACCTGTGTACAAACGGCTTCAGGATGGAAAGCTCTGTCGGACGGCGAGCGTGCGCGTCGTTGCTGGTTACGGACGTCCGACAATACCTCTGTGGCAGCCGGAGACAAACAACAACGACGGCGCAGGTGAAGGGTGCGGATACAAAGTAAGGGGGAGAAGGGCAGAGTGGAAGGAAATGAGACCAAGAGGGAGGATTGGGTGTGCCGGGGTTGTCGAGGTCCTATGTTATGGGTGTCCGGACTCCCGCAAGCCTTCCCCATGTTGTCTCCAATTTACAGGAGAAATCACGTTCTGACCGCCGCCCGGACCGATACAGGTTAGTGTTGGATGGCTTCCACGATCCAGATGGATGCGGGCGGAGATGTCCTTACTCCCTCCATTTCGTATTATAAAATATTCTAACTTTTTCTAAATCAAATGTGCATAAAACCTTTTTAGTATGTTTGTGCGCTCATTTTAGTTTGCATGTAGTCTATATTAAAATATTCAAAACGTTTTATAATTTGGAAGAGAGTGATACGTTTTATTTCTCATTCTCTGCTGGCATCTCAAGATATTACGAGCTGGGCCTATATCTTGATTCTTGAGGTACAGTTTATACAAAATCATGAAACTACAGGGGTTTTCATGCACAAGAACAGCGCACCAAATAAACATTGCAGATTTATTACGACTGCGTAGCAGCAGCCAGTTCACACTGTGTCGCTGTCGCCCATTACTGCTCCGTCGTCGTTCACAGCGACGCCAACGCTGCACCCAGACCCCGCGAGATCCAGAGCCTAGCACTAGCAGGTCGGGGAGGAAGAAGGTCCAGGACCCGCGAGGCAGGGAGGCGATGGCGGGCAGCGGAGGCGGCGCGTACAGGGCGGAGGACGACTACGACTACCTCTTCAAGGCGGTGATCATCGGCGACTCCGGCGTCGGCAAGTCCAACCTGCTCTCGCGCTTCACCAAGAACGAGTTCTGCCTCGAATCCAAGTCCACCATCGGGGTCGAGTTCGCCACCCGCAGCCTCCAGGTCGACGGCAAGGTCGTCAAGGCCCAGATTTGGGACACCGCCGGCCAGGAGAGGTGACTGCCTGCTTGCCTCCCGTCTCTTAATTACCACCTCTTGCCGCTTCCCGTTAATAGCTGCTCAAATCGGCAGTAGTATTAGTAGTATGCTCGCCAGTATGGATTTGCTTTGCTTGCTTCATGATCTGTTTCTTAGGAACCAGGATGCTACCTTCCCTTGGCCATCCATTTGCTCTATCAAATTGGTTTGGTGATGCTGGTAATCGGATGATTGCTGCATTTTTGTTGCCAATCTAGACGATCTTGGTAGAGTGTGTACGAATGTGGGTTGGAGTGGGGTAGTAAATCAGTGGTTAATAGCAAATGAGGGTATCCCAGTTCATGTCTGGGTTTCACTTGGTTGTTTCCTGCAGGGTAGATTGGACGCCCATTTGTGATTTAGCGCTTGGGACTTCCGTGTCTTACATCTATAAGTTAGTGGTTTGGGGATCAAGCAGTTGAAATCATTGTTGTGAGCTAGTGGTTGTAGTTTCATCTTTTATTGGCGTGCATACATGAATCAGTGGAGAGATGCATCGTGACATTGTTGGGTTGTGCACCAGCACACTTGGTGTGACCATGCGAGGGGTGTGCTTGGAGAAGGAAAGGTGTGTCACAAGTATTGGAAGATCTGTTGGCGTGGTCTTGGGGATGAAATGACCACTGCAGAGGGTTCATCTTGCTAGCTCTCATGGTAGAACTTAGTCATTGAATCACTGTGTTTCTGGCTTTCTGCATCATGTGGTGGCATAATTACACTTGTTCAACATAAGTTGGTTCCCAACTTAGTGCATCACCAATAGAAAGACATCACCAAAAAGTGGTGGGAGTAAAATTTACATCACCAAAAAGTGGTTTTTTTACATTACCAAAAACGTGCAACTCCAATAGATGATGTAAAATAGGGCAGCCGCGCCAATAGATGATGTAAAAATAGGCCAGCAACATGACGGCAGCCAACAGCAGCACAGCAATTTCAAGATCATTGCACACATAATCAACAATATGTCAAATTCAACATCAACTCCACATAAGTGCATCATATCAAACATAGTCCATGATTCAACAAACAAAAGTGCACATAAACATAAAGATAAAACATAGTTTGCAGTCTTCCCTTCGCATTCTCAACAAAACCCTTCTCTTCCATGCCAAGATTCTCAACATCAAATGTCGTATCATATTCTTGCAATGGAAAATCTTGAGAGACAAAATCTTTGGTCACAACATTTGTCATGTGCATAAATGTGTCATCATCAAGACTACAAATGCACATACACGCAATCTCACATCCTATTCATGTGAACATGACAAAAAAATTAAAAACGAAGAAGTTTTTTTACCTTTGCGACATTTCATCGAACATGTTGGAGACAGTGGCCGAGGGCGTCGATGGCTCCTCCTCCATGGCCGACGGCGGGGCTTGAGGTGATCAGGGAGCAGGTGTGCCATCAGCAGCAGTACTTGCCGTGGGCGACGGCGGCAACGAAGCAGCAGAAGCAGCCGCGGCCGTCTTCATCTTTTCGGTCGGGACGAAGCTGCGGCGGGGTCACGCGGCAGCCGCTTCGAGCCGCCACCACGTGGTTTGGCCGCGGCAGCCTTCTTCTTCGGCGGCGTTCTCATTCCGGCGGCGGCCACTGGAATGGCAGGAGACGCGGAGGTGGCCATGGCAAGGTGTGGTGGAGCGGCAGTGGTGGCCGTGGGGTCCATGGGGTTTGCTGGTGGCCGGCGTGAGGCGGGAAGTTTCAGCGCGGCAGTTGGGGGTGTGCGCGCGGACGGCTATGCTTTGCTAGGGGCGCCTGGTGATGCAAATTTGCATCACCAAATGCCCTATTTTACATCTGGAGCAAATTGTGAGGTTTTTTTTGCATCTACATCATCTGTTGGAGCACCGTTTTTGGGCCTTAGTGCTGTAAAATTCGGTTATTTTTACGTCTGCATCATCTATTAGAGATGCTCTTATCTGGCCTGTAGTACGATGCAAATGATTTTGGTCAGCTAGCTGTCTTGCCAGCAACTGAAGCAGCAGGTCATCGAGTCCACTTTAGAGGAGCAACATATTTTTTTTGGAACCGAGCTACCCCATTTTCCATCATTAACGGAAACAACGATCACACAAAAGCAGGGGATGCAGAAAATAAGGAGCGGTTTTGATGCATCATGATGCAAGAATTCCCTTGATGAACCAATTCATGGATATGTATATCTGTAGTCTAGTAAACAAAGCATAGCAGAAAAACTATCAAATCAAGACTTAGCGCTGCAATTTATACTGCTCCTTATTTTCTGCAATCAGGTTTTCATCCTATAACCTGTGTCCGAGCCGAGAGTAGGCAGTGGGTTTCCTGATTGATAGGACAATATGATAGCTATGTGATTCCTGCTCGAGAATAAAGTGTTCACTAGGAAACAGGTCTCACAAATTTATTTTTTCCATCAACAAAATGACTCACATGCTACTGGAACTTGCAAATTGAGAAATTAGATATGAATGCTATGCAACTGTAATGGGAGACAATCATCCAATGCAAAATACAAAATAAGCTAGGGTGGATCATTACTTTTTTTACAGCGATTTATTTTCCCCTTGTATGATGTCTGACTCATGTTATACTTGTGGGATATTTTCTGTTTAGCGTGTTGATATGTAAGTTCAATATCCCCTCTCCTATTCTTCGAGCCACCTTGATTATTGTTTAGATATAGACTCATACTTGCAGACATTTGTTCTGCTTTACCTCTGGCTTCTTAGAGATAGACTTGTATGCTTACCAAAGGAACATTACTGTTACTTCTATGACCTCTAATTGAGGATACTGACTATGAAGTTGAGGATTGTTTGCTCAAGCCCACCATGTTGGTCTTGTTTATCTGGTTTTAGAGGAGAGGAAAAAGTGTGGCCCATCCCATGTCTCTTGCCCTTATCAGTGGCACTGCTAGCAGTTGGCACATGAATTCAATTATTCTGTAGTTTCATCACTAACAAAGCTTTCATCCTTGACACACAAAGTGTATATTATATGACATTTCACATCCGAATAAAACCTTGGCTCCATTTCCAAAAAGCATCCGAATAAAACCTTGGCTAAGAGATTGTGCTGTTCATTCTGAGATCTGCTGCACTGTATGATATTCGATGTTCACAACATTTATTTTCACTCTTACGTAATTGCTGTTTGTGTAGATCATTTCTAGCACGACTGGTGGGATCAACACTGGTCACTAGCAGCACCTATTTTTTGCATCCCTTTTTTGCTCAGTTATATGATTGCCTGATATTTTTTTCTCTTCTTTTGTCAGATACCGTGCTATCACAAGTGCCTATTATAGAGGAGCAGTAGGCGCGTTGCTTGTGTATGATGTCACTCGCCGTGCTACATTCGACAATGTGGCACGCTGGCTAAAAGAGCTGAGAGATCACACTGATGCTAGCATTGTTGTCATGTTAGTTGGCAACAAATCTGATCTTCGTCACCTGGTGGCTGTTTCAACTGAAGATGGGCAGGAATATGCTGAGGCGGAGTCACTGTACTTCATGGAAACATCTGCATTAGACGCGACAAATGTAGACAACGCTTTCTCAGAAGTTTTGACTCAGATATACCGAATTGCGAGCAGGAAGACGGTTGATGCAGGAGACGACGGCTCATCTGCCCCAAGCAAAGGGGAGAATATAAATGTGAAAGATGACGTGTCTTCGCTGAAGAGAGCCGGCTGCTGCTCGAGTTAGGGTATAGATGCATTATTATTTGTTGCGTTTTCTACTGGTTGGTGTATCTTGTATTGCAACGAAACAGATTTGTTGATTCTCTCATTTTGCTGCAGTTCTGGTGATGGTTAGGCTGGTTCAGCTTTCACCTGAAAACTGTTTATCTCAGATTGATAATGAGCTTTCACCTGAAAACTGTTTATGTCAGATTGATAATGATATTCTGCGAGTACTTTGTTTACAGTAGGATCTGAGCAATATCACATTGCCTATTTTTATCAGAACCGTGTAGGAGAACTGCATGTAATGTATTATGACAGAAATAGAAAGTACAAGCTGGCCAAGAATCCTGCATAAGTAGAGAAAACACACTAAAAAACAACCTGCGAACTTATAACAGGCAAAATTGAACATTTCCATCACTAGCAGTGGCCCATTGGCGAGCGTCGTCTTTCATTTGCATTTTTTTTGCGGGAAATCTTTCATTTGCAATTGGTGTGTGTTTGAACTTAAGCTGACGCAACAGTATTAAAAAACAGATTTAAATAGAACCCATAGCTCGAGAAAAAACAAAAGAGATCATGCTAGTAAGTTAACTCAAACTGGCCTCTGAATTCTTTTTTTGCTATTACTCAATTGGTAAGACCTGAATCGGTGAAATGGTAGGTTCTAATTGTGCACATGTAAAAAATAATCATATACTCCCTCCGTAACAAAATGTATGGCATTTTTTTATGCCCTACGCAAAACCAAATAACGTGTTACATTTTGGTACAGAGAGAGTAGTATTAGTTTTGCACTTTTTAGTGCGTGTTTCGAAGTGGAGCTGTGGGGGCGACGTAATTAGCAAAACAGGCCAGCCAGTTTTTTTTAGTAACTCTCGCTCAACAGGCCTGCCAGTTTTTTTTTCTTTTGATGTTCGTCACTGCGTGCTGCGGCAGTTGACACTGGTAGGCCCATGTAGATCGAAGAGGTAAGTACACGGTGGCTTGTTACCTACCAAGCGGCCCAGCCCACGATAAGAAGGCCAGGCTTGGCAACGATCAATGAATGTCTCTCTCTTTCTCGCTTCTGCAAAAAAAAAAAAGTCCCTCTCTCGCTCACGTCAGTTGAGAACAGCTTCCAATTTGTTTTCTCTTGCCGGTTTGATTCTTCAGCTAAGGATAATGACTTCAAACAGGACGCAACGTCATATGTTTGATCCGTCGATCGCAAGCTTGGCCGGATGTGACATTTTTCTACGATTGCTAGCTGTCAGCCCTTTCCCCTCGTCTATGCCTTCATGCACTTTTCATCGTACCTCTTACTCCCTTCATCCCATAATATAGTGTCAAAAATGTTTTTTATATTATGAGACGAGGGAGTAGAATCCAAGTAAAATCATAGTATCGTTGCAGTTTTTTTTACCAAGAGATCATAATCCTGGGACGCTGACATAGAATCATTCAACAGCTAATCCCAAGGTACTTATAGTGGTGTAGTAAGTACCTAGCTGTAATTAATGCCGTGGGACGTGGATCAATAAGCATGTGATGGGGAGTTAATTCGTCCAGGCTTCTGCCTTTAAACAAAACACGGGTGGGAGAATCTCTGCTGCGATGACGCTGTGATGCAGAGCAGTTCAGCAAAGATATAATACCTGTGAGTGTGCTTCCTAACCCGTAGGATAAGATAGTTAACCGTCCATTGGAGTGCTATAGGCGAGAGCACCACGAATCTAGTACCTACTCACCATCCATCGGTTCCCAACTCCTGGAGCATCATCGGCTCGAATGCAACGCCAAGGATTCGCGTCGAGTACGTACGTAGTAGTACTCATTCATTTCGCTTTTCCTGCCTGCCTGGATGGCCGGATAGATGGATCGGTCGAGTTGGCTGGATCTTTTCATGCCAGGCCCAACCCAACCCAACCCAATAATTTGTTTGTCTGGTTGTAGGTAGATTCCTGTCCCGAAAATATCGCGACCGGGCAGGGGGGCCGACGGCGACAGGCCACGAATACGGTGCAGGGATAGAGACCGAATTCAAGACATCGCACTCGAAGACGGCGTACGCGACCCGGCCCGGCACGCAAAATTCCCGGGGATTATCGGTGTAGCCGTCCGTCCGCGCCGTGGCATTTGCTCCGCCGGCCCGCGCCAGGCACCAAATTACCAGGCCGGCCGTGGCCGGCAAGGATTGTGGCCACTTGCCGCCAGCCTCTGCGCCGGGCGAGGAGTGTGTGTGTGTGCGTCTTATCTGCGCTGCGCGTCACGGGTGACGAGGAGGACGCCTGAAAATGCCAACCTTTCGCTGCTTTTCGGTGGAATCGGACGTGCATCGTGACCGGAACTGCTCCCGGAGCGGCGCGGGCAGCACAGCACAGGCACGGGCACGGCCTTGGATATGGCGAGCGCGATGGAACCGAGGGAGTAAAATAAGCGGAAAGCCACCATTGAACAGCGAAATCCCTTTGATCTGATCCAGGCTATGTACTACACCTCCAAATTACTCCGGGTAAAACTACGGCCGGAGGAAAGGAAAAGAAAGGGGGAAAACGGGATCGGAACGGGAGGCGCGGTGAATAGTCAGGAGCAGGGCGCGGTGGCCGGCAGGGCCAGGTCGCGCCGGCGGCCGAACACGATGGCGCACTCCGGGAGCTCGCCCAGCCCCGCGAAGAGCGCGTCCTCCCCCTGCAGCTCGCGTTCCCAGTCCTCCGGCGGCGGCGCCACGTCGAACGCCGGCACGTACAGCGCCGTCCGGGGCCACGTCGGGTACTGGTCGAACCACCCGAAGTCGAAGCTCTCCTCCTCCTCGGCCGCCGCGGTCACCGTCGTGATCGCCGCGGGGTCGGCCAGGCCGATGACAGGCTTCTGCTCATGCTCCTCCTCCTGCTCTTGCTCCGGCGCCTCGGGTCCGTGCTCGGGCTGGCACTCCACCGGCGTGCCGGGCTCGGGCTTGGGCTCCACCAGGCGCGGGGAGGACTTGGTGGGGTGGCAGCCGGTCTTGGGCGCCGGCCACGGGTGGTTGTGATCGTAGGAGTAGGTGACGAGTAGCACGGTGGGGTCGGCGCGGCTGCGCTCCACCTGCTTCCTCGCCGGGCACCCCTTGGAGCTGCTGCAGCGGTAGTACCCCCTGAACACAACACGCGACAGCAATTCACAGAAATTAGTAAGTAACTGATGATTTTAATTGCCGCAAAGGAATTACCAGCCTGTCCTGCAAAGCTGCATGTATATATGGTGGGTAGGCGTAGTTACCGCGGGTAGGGGGATCCCTTGATGGGCTTCTGGCCGTACTTGCGCCACGCCCACGAGTCCGGCGGCGGCGGGCCCTCGCCGTTGGTCTTGGCCCGCTCGCCGCACTCGGCAATCGGCACCGACACCACCCTCTTCTCCACGGATCTCCGGCTGCAACCAATCGCCAAACGAACATACTCGTTCAATCCTCCGCCGCCTAATCAAGATTCGAGATTCGACCGGTTCCATGGATGGATGGAGATGGAGATGCGTGTGTATGTACGTACCTGCGCTTGGGCGGCGGCAGCGGGGACGACGGCGAGGGGTGGTCGCGCTTGCTCTGGCCTCCGCCGGGCGGCTGCTCGTCGACGGAGTCGGCCCGCGGCGAGTCCGTGCCGGTGCTGCAGTCCGACATCGGCGGCGCCTCGCCTAGCCTAGCCTAGGTATCCACGCCCGGCCCCGGCGGAATCGGACACGGACGGACGGAGCTATCTAGCCTCTGGACGCGTAACAGAGCGGAAGTCCCGGCCCGGCGGCTGGCTGGCTGCCTGGCTGCCCCGGATAAAAAGCTCAAAGCGAAACCAACCCCCACTTTCCGAAAGCGTATATATCTGTGGGCTGGGCCTTGGCGATGATCACTGGCCACCGCAACAGAGTGTACCACTATCAGGACGGAGGGGGCGAGGGGTGTAGTAGTACAGGGAGGGCCGGGTCGAGTGATGGGGGGATGGTGGAAATGGTGGCGGATGGATGGATGGGTGCAGCTTTCAATGATCCGCCCCCGCTACGTGCGCGTTTGTATATGTGCGCTGGTGGACGGACGCTTTTGTTTATGCGCACGATGTTGCCATCCACCGGGTGCAGCGCCTACTACTGTATGGAATGGAATGGGATGTGCTGTGTGTGTGCGCGCAGCGTTTTCGCCTGTTTGTTTAGCGTTTGGCGCAGTCCCCGCCTCCGGCTCCGTGTTCTGGATTGGATCGCTCTCCCTCCTTCCTCCCTCGCTGTCGCGTATAGGAGGAGGAGGGCGACGTGTTGGGGCCGGGGGCACGATTAAATTAGCGGAGGCTGCGATGGCGACCCCCTCGCTAACCGATCTGGCCAATCATGTCCGTGGCCTTGCCTCCCGCCCCATGTACACACATGGCGCATCTTTTGTTTTGTGCATGTGCGGAGCCGGAGCGAGATGATGATGATGATGTACTTTGCCGCCTGCCTGCCTCATCCAGCGAGCCGCCCGTGATCATGTAGTATGTAGCAGGTGTCGGGTTCGCTAAATTCGGTACCGATCCAGCTGGAGCATCAGATTCTATTTCGACGGCCAGGATACGTCGATGCACGCTACCACTCTGTGCATGTCTCTCAGTTTTTGACCCGTAGAGCAAGCAGAGGGTTCTGTGAGTACTGCTTGCTACTCCCTCGGTTCGAAAAAGCTTTTCCCTCATCCATTTGATGTACAATCTTGAGACAAGCTTTTCCGGACGGAGGAAGTACATGCCTACATCGATCATACTTGATGCGCCATGCAGATGCTCTAGTGAACACACTATTTCGTGTCGAATCATTACGAACCCTGTAGAACTGGCTCTATTTGCAAGTACTGGTACGTCTGCAAGCGTACGCGCGAAAAACGATTACTGTCGAACGTATGCAGGCACGTAGTTGGTCGAAGCTCGAAGGTGAATGGCGAGATCCATGCATCAGATCAGATTCAGATGGTGCCAAGGTCCATCTATCCATCAATTAATGATCCATGTGAGCCGCTGGGAAACTGCACTGCGGCTACTTGTTAATTCCATCTTA